CTTTCAGAAGGCCGTCCGTAGAGTGCTCTCTCGTTCCGAATCGAGCACCGTCTTGACCGATAACCTCGAGTCTCAGTTCTCCGAGCTTATCACCTTGCTGAAGGCCAAGAAAGCCGAGAAGAAGGAAGATAAGGAATCAGAGAAGACATCTTCGACACCCGCTGAGCAGACCTCGACCACCGCCTCTGAATCAACAGACGCTACCACCACCACTACCGCGACATCTGCTGCGGAGAACAAGCCTAGCGACAAGCTTTCCGAAGCCTTCCAGCAGGCGGCTCAGAACCCCGAAGGAGAGGTGGACACGTCAGAGCTCACGGAGGAGGAATTCGAAGTGCTTCGGCGGGCGCTGATTCAGATGCGCGATAATCCGATCGACCACAGCAAGCCCTACGCTACCCCTTGGCGACCACGCGACTACATGAGCGCTTTCGCCTTCATTCCTCGTTACCTCGAGGTCAACCACAACATCTGCGCAGCCGTGTACCTACGGCACCCCGTGGCGCGGCCAGGCCGCACAGAGGTGCCAACACCCTTCAATGAGAATATCAGCACAGCTGCGTTCGCCTGGTATCTCCGAAGACGTTAGACGGATGGGCTAGTGATATATTTCCTCTTTGGCTTTACCTTGTATTCTATCTTCTGCTGGCATGTTCCATCATCTTGTATTACTGGGTCTCTGGTGTGATTTCCTACTTGTTACGGTGCTCATAGATGTATCTGCCTTGTGGTTCCAGGGAAGGTTGAGCAAAAGTGTCATGTTGCAATGGTGTTGGATGCTACTTTACCTGGATGAGCCACATCTGTACAATCAATATCCCTAACATTGTACGTGCATCAATCAATCTTTTCTCAATATAGAGCATCGTGGCCATTTGTTGGTTCATATTTGCTTGCAAACATACGTGCAAAGAGGTCTCGTAATAATACGTATTCTATTTTGGCGGGGGATGAAAATTACCGTACACAAGCGCCAGCTCCCTAAGTGAAAGCAAAAACTCTCTTGTTCCCAACGCAAAATTTGCAAAAGCAACTGGTGATTTTTCATAATCGTCTCTTTATCATATCATATCCCGTCGCATTTATCCAGTGTTTATCATTCAAGAACTACCACAAAGAGGAGCCCATTAAGCCCCATTGTCACCCAGATCAAAGCTCCTCTCCTGCCCCTGGGTCCCCTCTGGCCCAACCAGACATCAATCATGTCAATGTATCCCTGGCATGGGACGACAGGCTCGAACGCTCATCATCACCAACACACGGGAACTGCAGCGGCCGCCCCTCGAATCGACCACACGGCTCCGTCGTCGTCGCCCTCGTCGTTCCAGATGCCTCAGCTCCGGTGGCTGCCGTCTATGATGTCGCGATCCCAGCAGAATACCCTGCCTACCATCTCGTCGAATCTGCGAATGGGCCAGAACTCGCACCACCAGCCCGTGTCGGTGGTGGTCGAGGCCAGACCACCTCCGCCGGACTCCAGCGAAGGATCCGAGAGTGATCGCTCTGACAGCGCTGTGCGAGACGGCACGGGGCCGGACGGCCTGGGCGATCCGGATTATGCGCCGTCGCCGGGGGATATGGCGGCTGGCGGGGTACAGAATGGGGTGTCTGGGGTTGGGGGCGCAGCGGGGACTGGTGGAGGGGTTGCAGGAGGCAGCAATGGTCACGGGCTTGTGACGGGTAGGTTGCTGGTCGACGAGGATCTGGACGGCACAGCGGGGGGAGGAGACACGCCGCGAAAGCACGGGAAACGACTGACGACCAAGGAGGAGGTATCGCTGTTTGACATCTGCAACCGACACGCGGCGGAGTTTGGGCAGCGCAGCAACCTGTGCAAGTGGTGGAAGACGGTCACGGAGGAGTTCACGCGCGACCAGGGGCATCCGTACTCGTGGCACTCGGTGCGTCGCAAGGTGGAGATCGTCACCAAGCAGCGCATGAAGTTCCTCGAGGAGCAGCGCGAGAAGGGCGGCACCGACGCCGACGACCTGTCGAATCCGCGGTGGCGCGCAGCCGTCGACGCCTGGATCCCCACGTGGCAGCGGTGGGAGGAGGCCGAGGCACGGCGCATTGAGAGGCGCGATTTGCGTGCTCGCAAGTCCCGCAAGAGGAAGGACAGGTCGTTTGACATGTGGGATGGGAATTCCGATGGCTGGCGGCCCTCTGCCACTCCGGTCGCGGAGAACCGATTCCAGGCTCCGGGTCAGGGTACGGTTCAGGGTCAGTCTCAACAAGCGCAGCCACCTTCTGTCTCTCCTGCGTCCCCTCCGGTTCCCACTGCTTCTACTGGAGTTGGAGCCGGAGCTACCCCCGTCCAGAATACCGTCCGCCTACCTCCAGGGTTTGACTCGATGTTCGCAAGCCAGACACCCCAGCCGAACCGGACGACCCCGGCGGCGGCAGGATGGTCGTACCCGCAAGCATCAACGACTGCTCACGCCCCATCCGCCCTGGAAAGCAGCATGATGACCGCTGTATTGGAGACTCTGGGGAAACTGAACAGACACCTCGACGCAGTCAGCGCCGACCCTCGCTCCTCGCCTCTTGTTACCTCTTTGACTACGAATGGGCAGATCGCTCGGGAGAACGGGATCTCGCACGACGGCGCCGTGGACATTGCGCCAGGATCAATGTCCTCAGCTTTCATCAGCCAACTTAAGGATGAGCTCCGGCAGGAGATGCAGGATGAACTGCGTCGTGAGCTGGAGAAAGACCGGGCTTCATTGGAGGAGAAACTCGATTCCGTGCAGCGGACCCAAGAAATGATCCTCGAGATGTTGCGACAGGAGCCCAGTTGATGTTTCTTCCTTTTAAGCTTGCTTTGTTCTTTTCAGTCGCTGTTTTCATTCGATTATGATACCCTTATGAGATGAACCGCCGATATGTGTTAACCGCGGCCCTCCCAAGACTTTTTATCAACACCTCCAATTGTAGATTTCTGACGTTACGGGAGAAATATAATGCGAAACATAAACAATAATTCCGGGCTAAATTACATATACTAGACGTGCTGTAGGGGGGTGGTTCATATGACCCTGCCAATTTCCGAGTTTACAACTTTTCTCTCCAACTCCTGCTTGCCAGACATCGAAAGGGAAGAGTTTAGTAGTAGAAGGTCTCGTCGACAGTGCGGCCTCTCATCCAGCGGGGCTCACTGCCGCGAACATAGATGTCCTCGAACAGAATGCGGGGGTTGTTCTCGGGGGCGGGCATCTGCTCGGCGATGGCAACCTCCTCGTCGACGTGGCTACGGGCAGACTTGTCCAGAGCCTTGAGCTCCTCCTCGGTCATGACGTTCCAGTCAAGGATCTTCTGCTTAAGACCGGCAATGGGGTCGTTGGTGCTGCGCATGCGCTGGATCTCCTCACGGCTACGGTAGGTGGTACCGGGGTCGGACATGGAGTGGCCACCGTACCGGTAGGTGACGTACTCGAAGACCAGGGGACCGTTGCCGGCGATGGTGTACTCTCTGGCGTACTGAACGGCAGCCTTGGTGGCAAGGACATCCATACCGTTGACCTTGATACCAGGGATGTACTGACCACGCTTGTAGTAGTCGGTCAAGGCGGAGGAACGAGCGGCGGAGGTACCCATACCATACTTGTTGTCTATGAATTGTCAGATTTGGACTGCCAGTAGGTGGCACCGAAAATCAACTTACTCTCACAGCCGAAGATGGCAGGAAGGTTCCACAGCTTGGCCATGTTGAAAGCCTCAAACACCTGACCCTGGTTGGAGGCACCGTCACCGTACAGAACAATGCTGGTAGCCTTCTCCTCGTTGTACTGCTGGGCGAAAGCAAGACCGGCACCCACGGGAACCTGAGCGCCGACGATACCGTTACCACCGTAGAAGTTGGGGGCGAACATGTGCATCGAACCACCTTTTCCGTAGGCGATACCTTCACGGCGACCGAGCAGCTCTCCGATGATCGAACGGACGGTACCACCGCGCATCAGAGCATAGCCGTGGCAACGGTAGGCAGTGATAACCTTGTCGTCGCGGGTGATGGCGTGTTCGATACCGGTAGCAACAGCTTCCTGACCGATAGATAAGTGGCAGAAACCTCTGATTTTCTTTTCCTTGTACAGACGGTCGGCGGCCATTTCCATGCGTCTAGACAAAGCAAAAACCATCAAAGGTTAGATACGAGTCGCGTAACAACATAAACACCTCTCCGCTCAGTCCATACCTGGTCACAACCATATCATAGTACATCTGCTTCAGGTCTTTCTTGGTGACCTCGAGCTCATATGGAGGAGGGTCGATCTCGTATGTCTCGAAGCTCTCATCGGAGAGTCTGACTGTGAAGGGCTTGTCATCCTCCTATACACAAACACCCATTTTGTCAGCATGACACCCTCCGACTCGGGGGTTTTTGGGCGTCTCAACAAACCTGCGGAATATTTTCAGCATGCGATGAGGCGGCATCGGTAGTGACAGAGCGGCGAGCGAGAGGAGCAAAAGCCTGACGCCTCAGAGGCGCAGCCTGACGGGCCCACGCAGCTCGGAAAAGCATGATGGGAGGTCGAGAAGTCCAATTGATATGGAGGAGGAGAGATAGAGGGAGATGAGGAGATCTTCTTGCCCTGTTATCTTCAACGCCGGAGATGTTGGGATTTGGGAACAAACTTCCCCTGCGACTAGGCGGAATTCGGCAGGCGGATTACTTAAGCCACGCTTCCATTCGGGGAGCGCCGGTGTAGTCACTGCAAACAGCGCAAACAAGCTTATGCTACTATGGTACGTATTCGGAGGTGATCAAGATGGACTGTAGGCCATCTCCGACGTAAACCAAAATTTATGATCTTTTACTATGGTGTCGAAAGGAGAGACCGCCAGCGGGTATGATGTCGAGCAGACTTGGCCGGTGTTTTACGGACTTTTGACTACCCAGACCTCATCCACTCAGGACCGTGAAAGTAGTCGCATGAAACGCTAATATACATGGTTGTCTACTGTACAATACGACTGTGGTCGTTCAGGAGTAGGTGAGTCAACTAGGAGCATAGCTTGCTTCCAATGAATTTTGCAAGCTCATGCGCGACTATCGCCTCAACGTCTCCGCCGAGACGGTCAGTAAGTAGGTTGTCCCACTGGCTCGACTGGATTTCGTGAAGCTTCCGTCCATTCAATACTTCATGCACTCGGCGTGCTTGCTCGGATGCCACGTTTGGATCAGATGAGACTGAAATTTCACTCTCAATGATCGCACCATGCTTGAGGCGGAGAAATACTCTGGTCTAGATGATCGGTCAGCGAGTGAAAGCGACCAACACAGCAGCAGTAAGATCTTACTGAGGGAGGCAGTGACTCTGGCAATGCGGGTCTTTGGCGCGGATCCTCCTCGAAAGGGAACGTGGAAAAGGTGAACTGTGGTGTCTGAGTGTACTTCCACTCCAACGACTGGTTAAGATCATACGTCAGTAATGGTGCGACATACTATGCGCATTTGCCTTACCCGAAGCTCGTCAATGCCTTTTCTAATCTCCAGCTCTCCATATCCTTCCTGCGCTCCTACAACACCGGCCACCCAGTCGGCTCCAGCGTACAGCTCAGGCTCGTTGGCGTGAGCACGCTGCGCCCGACGGACAGCGTCAGGACTAACCTGATACAGTCGAGCAAATTGCTCCATAATGCCCTCCATCACCGCTTGTATCGAGAAGGGAGCAAACGCATTCTCAAAGGCGGTCGAGACATTGGTCACTGGTGACCGCACACTCTCCACGCCTTTGGCCTTTATATAGTCACGGGCAGGCGAACGTAGGAAGAACCCCAAATCGTTGATATTGGGGGAATCTAACAAGCAAGTCCCATGATGTAGTGCTCGATGCCTTGTCAATTTGAATGCTGAACCAGAGATTTTCCGAGGCAGCGATGTGCCAGGCCCTCCCTGCTCGCTTGGCTCGGAGGTCATGACAATGTCATGTCGGTCATTAACACTGGTGTTGGTCGCCCCGATATTGTGTAGAGCCTGTACAACCATCTCCGCATGTTTGTTGCGAGTAAAAGTGGTGCGCGGCGAAATCACACTGTAATTCAGATTCCCCAGGTCGTGAAATACAGCTCCTCCGCCCGATCTGCGTCGAACCAGTAGTACGTCTTCACTCTCGTTGTCCCCTTCTCCAACTTCCACGCGGTCATTATAAAGTGCTTCGAGGTTGGTCTCGAGCCATGGGTTCTGATTGCGTCCGATGACAACGCATGGCCGATTGACGTACAAGAAGAGAATGCTGCTGTCGACTGGAGCATGCTCCAGCAAGAAATGCTCGATGGACAGATTCAGATATGGATCGGATGATAGCGACTGGTAAATCTGGTGCCGGGAGGACTGACGGCTCGCTAGCTGTGCAAAATGGTCGGTGGATAATGCGGAGTTATATCGTACTGCACCTCCATAAGGGCTGCTACCGTTCAGTCTAGGAGCCAAAGCCGACGTCAGCAGGCATTGTCCCCGCAGCAGACGACGCATTGAGGAACGACGAGGTTCAGGCACGGAGTGAGCATGGTTGAAGCTGTTCGAAATTCGGACTCCATGGCGGAGATCAGATGGAGACTAGGTAATGTATGGTAAGATGGCGGTATCCGTGGCGCAGGTAAAAAATAAGGAGCTGGGTATTGTAATGTAAGATCTTGTTGATGAGGGATATCTCCGATCGCCGGCGCGCTAAACCCAGATAAGCAACACCGATGACTGTTGTTAAAAAGTCCCGCTTCAACTCTTTTGCGGCCCTCAAAAGTAAGGGCTGACACAGCAGTCAGATTAACACTGAATATACATTTCACGGCTATATTTGGTTTCAATTGTGAGGCCCCTGCATCTATTTGATTCGGTCTGACCATCATTGCCGACTGACGGTTCGTTGGTAAGCATCACAATGATTCTCCCTTGCGAATAGCCCCACCAACTAACGTGAGTCAAAAAGCAGAAGCATACACGGAAACAGAAGACCGTTTCGAAATGTCGACGTGGGGAGAATACTTCCGGGTCACCACGTACGCTATCCCTACCTGAGTTCCAGCCAAGTCAGACCTCTAACCTGTCTTCGCTCGCAGTTATGGTGAATCCCATTGCCGCTCTGTCGGCTGCATCGTCGATGGCTGCCCTCCGGGCATGGAGCTCACAGAGGAAGACATTCAACCCCAGATGACCCGAAGACGTCCCGGACAGAGTGCTCTGACGACGCCTCGAAATGAAAAGGACCGTGTAGAGATCCAGTCTGGAACGGAGTTTGGCGTTACCCTGGGTACACCGATTGGAATGATGGTGCGCAACGAGGATCAGAGACCCAAGGACTACGGTGGCAGCACAATGGATCTCTTCCCTCGTCCCAGTCACGCCGATTACACTTATCTGGAGAAATATGGTGTCAAGGCGAGCAGCGGTGGTGGACGGAGTAGTGCCCGCGAGACCATCGGTCAGTTTTGAGCACACCCACCGAGAAGACGAGTTGCCGTTTGCTAACCACTTCATCTTCAGGCCGTGTCGCCGCCGGTGCCATTGCGGAAAAGTACCTACGCCTGTCGCATGGTGTCGAAATTGTCGCCTTTGTCTCCTCCGTGGGCAACGAATACCTCTTCCCCCCGACTGCCGAGCACCCTTCTCCATCGACCAACCCGGAGTTCCTGAAGCTCATCGAGACCATCGACCGTAAAACTGTTGACACCTTCGTCCCCACTCGCTGCCCGAACGAGGAGGCCGCAGCGCGCATGACAAAAGTGATTGAGACCTTCCGGGACAACCAAGACAGCATCGGCGGCACCGTCACCTGCGTGATCCGCAACGTCCCCGTCGGCCTGGGCGAGCCCTGCTTCGACAAGCTCGAGGCCAAGCTGGCGCACGCCATGCTCAGCATTCCCGCCACCAAGGGCTTCGAGATCGGCTCGGGCTTCGGCGGCTGCGAGGTCCCCGGCTCCATCCACAACGACCCCTTCACCGTCTCCGAGGTCCAGACTCGCACCGGCAACAACACCATCAGCACGCAGCGCCTGACCACCAAGACCAACAACTCCGGCGGCATTCAGGGCGGTATCTCCAACGGCGCCCCCATCTACTTCCGCGTCGCCTTCAAGCCCCCCGCCACCATCGGCCAGGCCCAGACCACCGCCTCCTACGGCTTCGAGGAGGGCATCCTGGAGGCCAAGGGCCGCCACGACCCCTGCGTCACCCCGCGTGCCGTCCCCATCGTCGAGGCCATGTCCGCCCTCGTCATCATGGACGCCCTCATGGCCCAGTATGCCCGCGAGAGCGCAAAGAATCTGCTGCCCCCGCTGCCCAGCACCCTTCCTACCAAACCTACCCTTGGCTCCAGCGGTGCTCCCGCCTCTTCATAGACCTGTTTTCCCCTAGAATTTATATCATAGTTTTCAAATTCATTGCAAAAAATAGCATCTTTTTTTCGGGCTTTTCAACATGCACCTGATGAGTACTTGCATCGTTTCCATCTCATCTCGCGTCGCATTCAACGCGGCTGTTCTAGATCTTTCCCCGAATCTACAGCTGATAACGATATCTACTCTGTCAATGCAATCTACGCATGGCCTCGTCGTAGTCTCTAAACAGCTATCCAAAACAACAAGTGCTTTCTATTTACTTCTGTCTTCCAACGTACAGGCCACAAGGAACAGTAATATGTTCGCAATCTCGAGACTTCCTCCTGTCGTATGCCCACAAAACAGTCCAGTTGAGAGTCCCGCCCAGAAGCGAAGAGAAGGAAGAGAAAAGGTCGTGACTTCGTGCTTCATAGCATAGTCCGTATTCGTTCGTCAGACACAGCACCCGGGGTGTAGAAAAGAACACGCTCAAAACAGGCCAAACAAGAAATGAGGCAAGCAGGACAAAAGCCGCGGTTATCAACCCCTTTCGCCAGGAAGGGCAGGCAACAAAAAGAAAAAGCGAACAAGAAAGAGAAGAAAATCTTATGAATATACAATTGATCGCAGCGGTCATGGGATACACCTTTTGCGCTGTAACAACTCTAGCGGTCTAGGCTGTCGTTCATGCTGCGGTGTTACTCCGACTGATAGATCTCTCAGACATGTTATCCAAGTCTTGGGCGGTGGCGTTAACCACCCTCAATCTCTCCTTAGGAACTGTGAATGTGATTTGGACCCGTCTGCCCTCGGCTGCGCCCTCGACGTCCCAGTCGTCGTCGTCCACGTCTATCAGCCCGTCCAACGCCGAGTCATCCCGGGATGACCTGATGGTCTGAAGCCCCGTATCTCGGGAGCCTCGATTGCTTGCTCCCCAATCTTTGGCACCCTGTTTTCGTCTGAACAGCTCGGCCGAGGCACTCACGGCTCGTCGCGGGACCTTCGACTCATTCTGTGCGACATCCACCGTCCTGGCTCCGAGGACTGTACTCCTCCGATCAATGCCCGACGCCAGAGAGGCTGTTGTCGAGTCTCGTATCGCTGTAACTCGCCTCTGCGTTCCGGAAATCACGCGACGCACGCTGCCCATCCAGCCAAACGTCCGCGCTTTTGGAGTCAGCGGCGATCGACCCGGCGTTGAGGGTTCCTCGATTGGCACGTTTAATTCGGTATCATTTCTCAGAAGATGCTCCCCCTCGGCCCATCGTAGCGAAAGGGTTGTATGTGCGGTAGAGTATGAGTCCGAGGAGTAGCGCTTCTCTCTGGACAGTCCTGTCCCATAAGTGGACGTGGAAGGTGGCACTTCTGGCGAATTGCGTTCATTATCTGGCAAACTTGTAGGGGTACGAAGTGGCGCCTGGGGGCGAGGAGCACTACTCCCAGATCTAGCTGAAGAGTCCGAAAGATTCGACGAAGTGCGCTCGTCCTGGTCCGAGGGCAAAACTCCGTCTCGGGGTGGATCTTCCGCGGGTACAGCTCTAACTGTTCGGAATGAAATCCCAATTGGATTCGACATTGTACTGCGCGGAGTAACGAATTCAGCGCCTAAGAAAGGTCCAGAGGCCGCGGCAGTATCAGGGTCACCGAATGCTGGAGAACTAGCTTCCTCCTCGTCGTGTTCGTCAATTGGATGAATTTCACCTGCAGCCTCGCTTCTTCTGTACTCGCTGTATGGCGCTGAATATCGGTAAGGGCGCGTTCCCAAGCTTTGCTGGCTGTTTCTGTCAGGAGTCGGGATATCGCGAAGCAGGCTGGTGCTCTCGGCAGCACCTTCGCCGTTGTCCTGCCCGTTCCGGCTTGGAGCGGTAGTCCAGGAGATCGTCTTATTCTGGTCCCTGGTCTTGGACACGCGGATGCTGCTCGCCATTTCGGGCTCGTCCCTGCCCCAGAAGTGTGCCCTTTGTGCACTGAGAGCGAGCTTGCGCAGTTCGCGATCCCGAGACCGCCGCACACGGCGTCTCCGCCAGAACCACCAAGCAAACACAGCCAAGCCTGCAGCTGACGGAATCCCCAGTCCGAGTCCTGCACCCAACCCTGCCTTTTTCGACAATGAAGACGTGGAGCCACCAGAGGCTCCTACGAGTTCCGGTTCCGGTTCCGGCAGGCTTGGATTTCTATATGAATTCATCCAGCTTCCAGACGTAACATTGTATAGAAAGACTTGGGAGTTAGGCTGAGGCCCTACTGCCGACCGCTTCGTTGTTGTGGAAGTGCTGTACCCGCCGGCGATCATCATCACACCGCCAGGAAGCATTGCTGCACCATGACCGTAGATCCCAGTTCCGTCTGCGAGTCCGCTTCCTTGGTTAGATGGGACCGCCCAACGCCATGAGCCAGTGCCTCCAAACTCTTCACCCATCTCCAATATAGCCAGCTGAGGCTCAGCAGGTCGACTGGTACTGCCTACCCATCCGCCGAACACGATGACCTTGCTACCGTCGGGCGAGAGAACGGCCGTGTGGCCCGACCTTGGCTCCACGAATGCTGAATCTCGAACAGCAAGCTCAGTTTTCCCGATATCCGACCCTGACTCGACAGTGACGAAGCTCCAGCTGTCCTGAGGAAGAGAATAGATGGCAAGCTCAGACATATTGATGAAGGCTTTCTGGGTGTGGCCCCCAATGAAGAGAAAGTTCTGTTGCTGTAGTGTTCGACCTAAAGGAGACAGTGCGTAGGTAGGACGCAATGGAGTAATTGTGAACCCGCCCTCCGGGATAGGTGGTGCGCGCAGGCCAGCCGTTGATATTCGATATGAAGAGACACGGTCAGAGGTCGGAGGACTCAAGACGATCATGGACTGAGAATAGTTGGCCGCGTAGATCCAGGTGGCTTTCGGGGTCCTGTTGAACGGACACATGCCACCGAAGGTGTACAGCGAGCTCTCCGTCATGTTAGAAGATGACCAGGCGAAAGCGGCAGACAGATAGTTGGGTCCGTAGCTGTTGACTCCTAAGTTCCCTTGCCCTAAGTCTAAATCACGCACTTCCCACGTTCCATTGCCGCTCGAGTTGTTAAGACTTGGCGTAAACACCCAAAGCCTTCCTTGCTCGTTTGATTGTCCGCAGTCCCCTACATAGACCTTGATGAGACCATGTTGAT